TCCTCCATTCTATCCCCTGCATCCATTCAGTGATTACTTCTACGTCACTGAACAAATGTGTGCCCGCTCTTCAGCTGTTTGATGCAATGTTAGTTCAACGAGGTCTTTTCATCTTCTCATCCGGCTCTGTTCCATTAGTTAGCGATGGCTAAATTATTTTAACGCTTTATTTGCAGTCAGTCAGTTACTTTAACTAGATATGCTAATATAATTTTTACAAATGTATCTGACTCAAGATCGTTTGTTTTCCCTCTTAACGTTTATCTTAAAATCTTAACTTTCATTACGTTTTTCTGTTTTTAACCTTGTTAGGTGGTGTCCTTCCAGGCAATAGAGTACAATTTTCAAAATACCCTGAATGAGAGCCCTGTATACCTATAGCTGTTGTGCTGTTGTCAAAAGTTTTGCCCTGGGATAATTTCAGTAAATTGCCGCTTGCTTCCAATAACCATGCGCAGCGGCTCTTAACTTTGTTTGTTGCTCTTTCGTCCGACGAGAGACCACTCTCAAGATACACAAGTTGTAGTATCTTTCCCACAATTCGGTGTCAAGGGTCAGACAAACATTGGCATGGGTTTTACTGAATTTCACTGAATTAACCGAGAGACTCAGGACTGCCTTTGTTTCAGAGTTAGGAACAATGATGCCGAAGTTTCGACGTTGTCTATTCGCAATACGATATTATCCACAAACGGATGAGAATCTATGCACATGCTAATGCGAAGTTCACCCATTGAAAACCGTATTAACTCCTACCTCACCCCACCCTTAACGATAACAGAGCTGTTGTAAAAGCAATAGTGTAACAACCGAGCCGAGAGACATGCTTTGGAACACCAACGTTCATGTACTAATCATAATCTTGCTTGACCCAAAGATTTATTGTTGTTTGCAAACAACTGTGACTTTGCGGAAGTGTAGCTGGAGCGGGTGCGAACTTTGGCAATGTTTTCAGGTGGAAGGTTGGCGAAGAAAAATTGCGCGCGAAGGACATCTAGTGAAAACATGAACCGGAAAAAACTGGTCGATTCATTTCTTGTCTTGACCTTTCGTCTATCGACTCAAACGACGACGGCGTCAACTGCTCCAGCGCCTTATTGCGACGACAGCTTTCAGAAAGGTGGCGAATTTGATCGTCGCACAGCAACGCCCGTTGCCCTCAGTATCCAGCTATGCCAAGCACCGCCTCAGACACCCACCGCCTCAGTGTCGCTCGACGGTTCCCGACCACCTACGGTGTTGCCAATGCGGCTGCCATCGCCTTCACCGTACTGGTACTCGTCCATTCTTCCCAGGTACTGTTTTCTCAGCGT